AGATCTACAACCTGCTATAGACAGTAAAATACTACCTAGTGATAGTAAGAGGAAGAAATGAAATCGAATGAGGTTCAAATAGCTATATTGATAGTAACTTTCTGCTGTTGTTAGACAGGTGTCGTATAGTAATCCCTAAAACGGATAGCGACAGAAACAAAAGGTGCCCTAATGAATAGAATAGATCCGATGTAAATAAAAAGAAAGGGATCGAAAAGGTTTGTTATATCACTACTAAAGAGGGTACCGGGTAAAGGTTCCTGCTGAAATTCTATGCGTATAAAGAAATAGGATACAATGTCTCAAACTAATCCCTAGGAAAGGTAGCAGATTGAAACAAGTGACTAAGCTGATACTATTAGTGCCCCCCGTGCCTTCGAGGGCACCTAAGTCTAACCCCACTAGCTGTAAAACCACATGGCAGATAGATACTGGAGAGAAAATGTAATATAATAAAATTAATAAACGGCATAGATCAAGCCCTGAAACCCCTGACGCGCGCGTTTCGCCCACTTAGCTCGTCAGAGGGGAGGACTTATTACCAAACTCATGGCAGAGTACCGAATGGATGGCGGTTTGGTTACCGAACAGGGGGATTCAGGGGAAACACAGGAACAAATGGAGTTCCAGAGACAGTTACAATTTAGGCTGTCTTTTTATGGAGAACACCCTTCAGCGGAAATTATTTCCAAGACCATGACAGAGGTCCAGGAATTCATACTGAGGCAACGGACAACAACAACCCCAGAAGCTCTGCAGTAAACATGACACAGGAAGGTAAGCCTAAAATACCCTATCAGGCTTTTAAAACATATGTGGAGGCAGAGGAAGATATAGATGCCTTCCTGCAAGATTTCAGCGCAGAGGACTGGGTACCTATTTTGGCAGGACGGTTAACTGGGAGGGCAGCAGAGGCGTATCGTACTGTGCCAGATGAGGAAATCAGGAATTACAGTAGAGTGAAAGAGATTATACTGGCCCGGTATGCTATAACACCAGAGGCATACCGGAGGAGATTCCGGGATTTAAAGAAAGCGGAGAAAGACTCGCATGCAGAGTGGGCGTGCAGGTTACAACGGGCAGCACTCGGGTGGGTACAAGCCAGCAAGGCACAGTCCATGGAGGACGTGATACAAATGCTGCTAATGGAACAATTTTATGATGGGGTGACAACAGATGTCCAGGAGTGGGTAAGGGACCGAAACCCTACATCCCTCACAGAAGCTGCAAGGAAGGCAGATGATTACCTGGACGCACGCAGGCAACAAAAACCCACAGTTCCAAAAGCAGCATTAAAAACCTTTTGGGGAACCAACTACACCCCAGCACCACCGAGGCAACTACCACCACCACCACCCGCTGCACAGCCACATTTTCGCCAGCCGAGCTCTGGGCCCTGTCATCACTGGGCCCTGTCATCACTGCCAAAAATGGGGGCATTATAAACGAGAATGTCCACAACTGCGGGATCGTTCCACCTGGATCCGACCAGGCCCACCGCCACCACCAAGGGGCGCCGCAGCACACTGCTACCAGGACATAATTGCAACACCATATGGTTCAGCAGTACCCATTACCACCGTGGAACAGTGGGAAGTATTACACAAGGCAGACCCGGTACAGGCAAATGCTGATAACCGACAGCACCACAGACAGACGGTATACCTAGAGGGCAAAGCGGTACAAGGGCTCCGTGATTCAGGAGCCACTATTACCTTGGTCAAAAGCCACTTGGTAGCGGACAAAGCGAAAACCAACAGAACCGTAGCCGTCAGGGTAGCCGGGGGAGCTGTATAGCGGCTACCTACAGCAAGGGTTCACCTACATTGGGGAGCGGGGACAGGAGAAGTGGAGGTGGGGTTAATGCCACAATTACCAGCCGAAGTTTTGCTGGGCAATGATCTGGGAAGACTCACGTCTGCATTTGAGCCCCAGATCCCGATCACAGGAGAGGCTCACCCTGTGGTCACTAGACAACAGGCCCGCACCCAGGCTCCACCCACACTGCCGGAGGTTCAGGTAAGAGACCCTTCCCCTTCGCTTGACTGTGTCCCCTGGGCCCTTCCTAACGAATTTGCAGCTGAGGTTATAACCGACCCCACGTTGCAAGTATATAGGGACAAGGTTACAGCAGACACACCCGGGGGGGAGGGCGAAAGGTTTATCTGGGACAAGCAGCTGTTGTACAGGGAGACGGACAAGCAGGTAGCCGGGTCAGACCCGATAGTTATGCGACAGTTAGTGGTACCACAGCGGTACCGAGCAGAGTTACTCCGGATAGCACATGATATTCCACTATCTGGACATTTAGGGGTCAGCCGGACCCGGCACAGACTAACCCAAAGTTTCTTTTGGCCAGGAGTCAGCCAGGAAGTACGCCGATATTGCAACACTTGCGATACGTGCCAAAGGGTAGGGAGCTACACCCCCTTCCCATAATTGAGGAACCCTTTAGCAGGGTAGCAGTGGACTTAATATAACCTCTCAAGAAAGCGAGCCCGTCAGGCAAGAGATATATCCTGACTGTAGTAGACTATGCCACTAGATATCCAGAGGCGGTGGCTCTGACTAATATTCACGCGGAAACGGTGGTGGAGGCCCTCATGCAGATATTCTCCCGGATGGGACTCCCCAGGGAGATTATATCGGATCAGGGTACCCAGTTCACCGCCGAAGTCACGCAGCGCCTTTGGAAGTTCTGTGACATTAAGCCTATCATTAGTGCCCCTTACCACCCCCAGACTAATGGGCTCTGCGAACAATTCAACGGTACATTGAAACAGATGCTCCGAACCTTCGCAGAGACCCACAAGGACTGGGAAAGATTCCTGCCTCACCTCCTCTTTGCTTACAGAGAGGTGCCGCAGGAATCCACAGGGTTTTCCCCATTTGAATTATTGTTTGGCCGAAGGGTACGGGGGCCATTAGATTTGATTAGAGAGCATTGGGAGGGAGAGCGGAACACCGATGGTACCCCCATCATACCATATGTGTTGGCCTTCCGAGATCGCCTGGAGGCCTTAACTCAGACGGTACGAGAAAATTTACAGGCGGCTCAGACCCGCCAGCGCACATGGTATGATCGGGGCGCCAGGGACCGCAGCTTTCAGGTCGGGCAGAAAGTGTTAATTTTAAAACCTGTCCGACATGATAAGTTACAGGCTGCTTGGCAAGGCCCTTATAGGGTGGTGGAACAAAGGTGTGACACCACTTATATAGTGGGCTCTTGCGTTGGTACTGTTTGGTGATGCATGCTCCATGTGAACATGATGAAGCCCTACCAGGAGCGCTCCGAGGAGGTGACCGCCATATGTGCACCTAACTCGGAGGAGTTCGACAGCTTGCCTCTCCCAGATCTGCTGGGAGATGGTCAGTTATCTCGGGATTTAGGGGAAATCGCACTGGGAGACCGGCTGAGTCCTCAGGAGCGGAGCGAGGTACAACAACTCTTGAGGGAGAAGCGAGATACCTTCTCTAATGTACCTGGTTACACTCCTCTGGCCACTCACCGAGTAGACACCCCAGGTCAACTTCCCATGCGCCAGACCCCGTACCGCATCCCAGAAGCGGTGCAGGAAAATATGGGCAAGGAGATCGATGAGATGCTCCAGCTAGGGGTGATTGAACCCTCAGACAGCCCCTGGGCCTCCACCGGTAGTACTAGTACCAAAACAGGATGGGACGACCCGGTTTTGTGTAGACTACCGGAAGCTGAACTAGAAGACTGTGTCAGACGTCTATCCCATGCCCAGGATGGCTAGAGGACACTATCTCACCACTATTGACCTGTGTAAGGGGTATTGGCAAATCCCCTTAGCTCAGGACGCCATCCCTAAGTCGGCCTTTGTCACCCTATTCGGCTTGTACCAATTTAAGGTCATGCCGTTTGGGATGAAAAATGCCACAGCTACTTTTCAGCGGATGGTGGACCGCCTCCTAGATGGGTTCCAAGACTATACCTGTGCATATCTCGATGATATTGCCATATTCAGCAATACCTGGCAGGAACACTTGGCCCATATAGAAGCGGTCCTAGACAGGATTAGAGCAGCCGGTTTAACGCTGAAACCGGCCAAATGCAGTTTAAGGATGGCCGAAGTACAATACCTAGGCCATCGGGTAGGATGTGGCAAGCAGAAGCCAGAACCAGCCAAAGTAGAGGCTGTAGCCCAATGGCCTACCCCTAGGACCAAGACTCAGGTACTAGCCTTCTTAGGGACCGCCGGATACTACCGGAAATTCGTCCCGAACTATAGCGCCCTAGCCAAACCCCTCACTGACTTGACCCGCAAGAACCTTCCTCATCAAGTGACCTGGACCCCGGAGTGTGAGCAGGCATTCCA